TATTGGATATATAATAATATGAGTAAATAAAATTACATCCAGTAGCTGCGAGCTTCTTACTTTGTGTTATCCAACATTACTTGTGTGATTTAAATTTTATATAAAATGACATTTGTTTAAAGCGTTTCAAAAAATTTCAATAACGTCAGTGGCCATCAGTGATCACTATTGAAAGCGTTGATCATAAACTGACCATGACAAGTATATCATACATAAACAATTAAGCTTTTGTGATTTTTTAATCGATTATATTTTTGCGATGTATGAAGGTTTAAACGAGAAAAATTGAAATCTAAATTTAAAAAATATTAATCCTCCGGGATCTTTAAAAGCATACTGTCGATATTTTGATTGTGGATTTCAGTAAATAAATTTAAATCTGTAAACAATAAGTAAAATACTGACTTCTATAATAATAGTAAAAACTTATTAGGTACATAAAGACAAGTATGCCAGATTTTTATATAATTTGGAACAAAAATTTGTTTTATCTTTCGAAAACTCCTATACTATTAAATAAAAAAAAAAAAGGTAATAACCGCGCGAATTTCTTAAGTTAAAAAAATAACATTTTGTCATTTTTAACTATTTTTATCGTTTTTAACATGTCATCAAAACGGTGAATCAATCTATTCTGTGATTAATTTCTAAAAAAATAATGTTTACATTAACGTATGTATTTAAATAATATATTCAATTTTAGTCATAGTAATTTAACAGAATGAGTTAAATTTTAGTTAAATTAACAACATATTGAATAAAAATGATCTGTAAAATGATTAAAAATATCTTACACTAGGTATAGTTTGTGTTGTGATATTATAAATTTAATAATTAATATACCGTTATGTTCATTAATGTCTGGTATTTCAATTAAAAAAACATTTTTACAATACGTTCATTTTTATGAAGGTTACAAGCAAAATTTTCTTCGTTTAAATACACCATGTATCAATGTACTGTTTTCATACATAATAAAGTGGTTTAATTAAATTAACGACATATTGAGTAAAAACGGTAGCGACCTATATAGAAATGATTAAAAGTTATTCAAATTGGGTATAATTTGACATTACGAATTTAACAGCGGATAGAAGAGTTAAATTCATGTTGTCGGCGGAGAGTCAATAATTGTATCCACAAAATTATATTGCAATTTATATAGAAACTATTTCACGAAGAAAATGCATCGGCTCCTCATACAAAGCAACGAGATCAAAAGCCTGCCTTGTTTCGAGCTCGAACTTTCCTCTTCCTCTCCGATAATTCGAGCTATCCAGATATGCATATCCAGATAGGGCGACGCTCGTTTCTCTGTCACCAATCGTGAATAAGAGCCGCGTACAACAAACTCACTTCGTTCTGTTACCCTTTCGAAGATCCGCTCGTCGGCGAACTCCTCGGGCGGACGTGCCGGGCGCGGATAGAACTCCGAAACGTGTCCAACACGCGGTAGAGATAACACATGCCGCCCGTGCGAGAGCGGAGTTTACGGAGAGAGGATGCGATAAAAATAGCTTCTCGCAAAGCCGTTCCGATTGTGCCTGTTCCCGCTGCCTGAATGGTGTTCTCGTCGCATCAGGCCGTTCGTCTGACTCCCGAGTATTCCGCGCGAGGCGCATTCGTGATACGAGCGAGAGAGAGAAAGGGAGAGGGGGAGTTTCGCGAAAACTTTTCGCGGATCGAGTTATCGCGTTTCGGCGCTCCGCACTATTTTGTTTGTCTTGTTCGATTTGCTCAGAAGCCCGCTTCGCCGTAAATTCGAGTTAGGTAACTCGCACCGGCGGCGGCCGTAGGCGCTATGAATCATCTCACCCCGCGCGTTCTACGTGGTCCTGTGCCTGCTCTGAAATTCTAAAATTCGCGATCGCTCAGCCTGTTATTTTATCGCGCGAAAAGAAAAGAAAGGAGGCTCGAAAATCCACACGGAGAGAACAAACTTTTGCTGAAGTGTATATAACAATTTTTTTAGCTATAGATATACTGGTCTGAAAATCCTTTTATCGGACCATCAAAATAATTACGTGAAAATCTCAAACATGACGAGCATCCTGTAAAAAAAGCTTAATTTTCATAAATATTTGTTTAGATCGTTCTTCAAAATAGTAATATTAAGTAATATTAATCGTTCACTTATAGTAATATTCTTATTCAAAGAAATATATGTATTAAGATTTAATAAATTTTTTTCAGTGCAACGACGTAAAAAATTTCGAACCACAATTATATGTTGATGATTCAAACACAATTATTTTACGATCTCTATCTATAGCTAAATTTTTAAGATACTTCAGCAAAACCAATCTTTCCATGTGTTGCTGGTCGCAAGAGAACATCGTAGGATCCCACAAACGAGGGAACATTGACCGCAAGGGGAAACGACGATCTCTTCCTTTCTCCCATTCGCGGTTCGAACTAATAAAATTTATCGATACGTGCATCGTTGGTCACGCCGCAATTGTCGCGAAAAGCCCCATTGGATTGGTCTTCCCCTCTCGCGAGCAAATTCTCAAATGCACGATGTCATTTCTCTCGCATAACGTATCGGCCAAAGTTCGCCGAGCTCGTCGAGCGGAGCGGCGCGGCGCGGCGCGGCGCGGCGCGGCGTCGCGCGTGCACGGCACACATATACCGCGATAGGAAGGCGTATGATTTCTCGGCTGTTCCAGTCCCGTTTCGAGCGGAAAGCCGGGGAACGAATGCCGGAAATATATGTGGAACGGCGTGCACGCGCTATCTACCCGCCGCGGGCGCAGGAAACGCGCCCAGGACCGGAAATGAAGGATGTAACCGGGACGAGGCGATCGCGCGTACACGTGTTCTTAATGAAATTCTAACGACGTGTGTGGCACGGGAATTCTTGCAGATATATATATTTATGCCGAGACGCGCGAAACGGGAGCACGGCTTCGTCAGATTCAGAGATGTGACATTTTTTTTTAATACAAATTAATGAATGAATTAAAACAAATATGACAGGTAATGTGAGTCGACCGCTGGTTATAATTTACGAATAAATTTAAAATATATATTACAAAGCTAAGCAACCTTTATTTCGATGACGTTTATAAATTTGCTTTTCGTACGTTTCGACTCTTGTTTTGAGTCATCTTCAGCGAATTATTGAAATAAAATACAATAGGTTGACATCTCGATATTAATAATCCTAAGATTGCAGACACAACAATCGTGAGATGAGCCTCATACTCAGTTAGTTAGCTAATGGTAATGAAAAAACTCAAGCTCCACCATTATTACGTTTTAACAAATGTCACAAACATCATAAAGTGTCAATTAATAATATAATGTCAATAAAGTAAAATGAGAGCAATTTAACGAAACTCTGATATGTCTGTAAATCAGTTACTTTTTTTTTTAATAAAAAAGACAGATTCAACTCTTAAACGCCTTTTTTTGATATGGTATGTCAAATCGTGACCTGGTTTTTTTCCAATGCTTTTCTCATTACTTATAATTTTTTTATTAATAAAGATATAGATATATATATATATATATTTGTTTTGGTTGTATTTATAATTAGACATTAAAGAAACGGTGGTAAGTTGTCTTGAATTAAATAACATTTTGTTACCTTTAATTTCTATGTGTGTTAAAATACAAATTATTGTAATACATTTCTGTGATTACAAAATTATTTCGAGTTCTATATCTAGCTAAATTTTTAGATACTTTAGTGAAGCTATTTTTTCCGTGTAGCATAAGCTCGTATAAACCAGCAAGCATCCAGCATAAAATCGCCATATTGATTTACATAACGTATTCATTGGTCCAGACAATCTTGTACGTTAGATATGCTGTGCTTATTCATTTTGCGTGTTATAGCCCTTGTAGTACTAAGATTTTTGATGTTATACTATTTTGATGTTACTAAAGATTTTGATGTTATAGATATGGGAAAAAAGACAAATTTTTATATCGATCGCGATAAAGAGTCATACGTTTCTCGTCACGATTTTACACGCAACGAAAACGTTTCGGCGCAATATGGACGATGTAAATTCGAGAGAAAGCCGAATGCACGCGCGAAGTCATGAAAACTACATTTAGCGGATATATCTACGCCCCGGGTATCGAAACGGGGATCGGCCGTGTGTTACAATTCGTACAGATTATATATATGGACGCGATTTCGTATCGCGCCGCGCCGGTTCGATCCGATAAGTTTTGCAGTTGAATCTGCAGTCGAAGTTAAGCGGATTGCTAAGTTCGGAAAAGGATTGCCGAACCGCCGCCGTGCCAGTACGATCGTAACTTCCGATCCAGCCAAATGCAATTCGTAATCCGTTATCGATCGGATTCCACCAGACGCGTGTCTTTTCTCTCTCTCGTCCTCACTTTCTCTATTACTCTCCCATACAGCATCCGAATAAACGGTCTTATCTTCGCGATAACACTCATGTTGTCCATGAAAATTTTAGTGAATGAAACCTTTGTCACATCAGGTAACGTCGTCCCCGATCTTTTCTATGGATATACGTGTGTTTTATATTTCAAGATGTATCTAAAAATTGAATCTGTTCGAACAAATTGTCGCTCTTCTCCATTTTCTGTATCTTGCTTGATCGATCGCAATAATTTTATTTTAAATTTATACGAAAATATCTGTACTAAAAATGAAAATATTTGCCAAAATTTTCCCAAATGCAGCTTGAATGTTCTGTTCTATTTAAAACATTCATTTAATTTACCCAATTTGAATAGAATTCGTGAAACACTTTGAATATTTAAATTTCTAAAATACTTATACTTGTAAATAACGTAAATTATAAATATTCAAAGTGTCTCAACATTTTTTGCAATTGTAATATAAAATAAGTCGAAAAATACTTTAAAAAGACATGGGAAAAGATAAGATATATGTTCAGATTTCCATTTAGAATCCAGTTTACTTTTTATTATATTTCAGAGATCTTCGTAAGTTACCCAGTCAGAATCGATAACTTCTTTTGGACACTTGAGAGCTATGGAATCCAATTTAATCCCAAAAATGTTCTGTGTGCGTGGGTATTATTTTAACTTTATTATAATATTATACGCATCACATAATAAGAATTCCGCTCAAGATTCGTCGAATTTTTTATCGATCGGCAAACAATTAAGTTGAAAAGTACAGCCCTTAACTCTGGGCAGCGAGTCATTAAAATTTCGTTCATAAATCCGTGATGAGAGGTCGCAGTCACGAGAGGTCGGTTCACGGCGAGTGCCTGGCTGCATTAACAAACCCGGGGCGCGTCAATTCGCAGCAAGGGTGGCCCGATATCGACGACTCCCGGAGGACTTCCTTTCTTCGCGCTCTCCGCACGTGCCCACGATGTTTAATGCAATTTCCCTTATCGCGGCGACGAGTTTCTTCGTCCCTGTCGCCTCTCACGTCCCGTCCAGCCCGCCCGCCCACCGCCCCCGACCTTTTCCGCGAGAAAAAGTCTCGGCCAGAGTGCGCGGAGCAATAAATTGCAGCTACTCGAATCAACTTTTGAATTACGACTCGGGAGAGCTCGTTACGACAACCAGCGAAATCCTGTTAGCCGCATTGCAACCGTAATGAACTCGTCCGACGTGGCTGGTAGCGCGCGAAAGGAAGACCACCGCCGCGCTGGTTCGCGCCAGAAACGCGACTGAGAGTATTCTGCGATGGCTATCAAGAGCGTTGATTTCACTCCCGCGGCCCCGTTAGAAAACTTCTTGATTATTAATAGCCAATTCGACCTGCCTTCCTGCAATTTGCTTAGGCGTCGCGCTATCGTATTCCCTTTAACGATACTCTCTCATTTATTCCGCCAAACTTTGTGTATACCATATTCCGCTCGAGGCTGCTGGATAACAATGACTTTCGCGCGCGCATTTACTTTCGATTCATCAAGAAGCGAGAATTTGCCACAAGATAAAACATTCTCGCGTACATACAGATCTAAAGATTATTTGTTGATAGTACCGATATAAAATTATTTTCCAATCTGTGAATAATTTTTAGATACTTCCATACCATTGCTTGAATTTCTTATAATAATTACTTTGATAGTCCAACAAAATTATTTTCAGATCTGTATCTCTAATAGTTAAATTTTTAGATACTTTAGTAAAAGCGTTCTTTCTGTATATTTTTCTTTATATATCCATACATACGTAAATTTATGAGCGACGTCACACATATTCATATATTCGTATGCGGTTTGATAAAAAATGTTGCAAGTTTAAGGGTAAGTATAAAGCATTCGCAGTCAGACATACATATGTACGTATACTTTACGTACCTACGGGGTGTTTTTACGCGGAAAGAGTACAAGATGTGACGGAAACTATGAGAAAAGCCTGCTCGTTCGAGGTTCCCTTCTTGCAGCTACTAAAAAGTTTGTTACCTTTTTAGCAGGTATTGTCTTTAGTGTGGCGAGGGAGAGAAATACCGGGACTAAAGAGGGTTTTCACGCGAGTCGCCGCGAGATAAGACCAGGAGGATGGGGAATGGCCGTCACTACGACATACGACGGGATAGGTGCCGATAAGAGCAATCCTGTGGGTGCGTTTCCATATAGAGCGACGTAAGTGTCGACGACGAAAATGCGCGATAAAGATCGCTGACAAGGGGTGAAGACCTAGTATGATATTATTAGTGCGTAACTCTCGGAAATAATGTAACTGTAATACAGCACGCACTGCGTGTATTACATCTCGAAATGTTATTATTAAAGAAGTACATTACTGAATTCATAATACGAGATTATAGAGGTTAAACAGTCATGAGTATAAAAAAAAAGACATAAAATATATTAAATTATATAGAATTGAAAATACACGGGTATGTTAAGTTAGCACCCCAACTATAGTACTCAGGAGTTCTGATTAGAGTTCACACTTCCTTTTGACGAGACGAAGAGTTCCCTATAGTTAATAACAAGAGTTCCGCTCAATAAACATTTTTTTTACATTTTTTAAAAATGGGGTGCTAACTTTTTATCGAATTTCGAGGTGGAATAGTTCTGAGCGGCTTAATAGCTTCAATTTACGATTGCTTAGAGTTCCTGATATGTAAAAAAAATTTTAGAATAATAAAAAAAAAATTAAAAATTTTTGAAAAATTAGTTTTTAAATACAATAGTTCTGATGATAATTCCTACTTCTTTTTGACGATACGAAGAGTTCTCTATGATTTTTAATGACATATGCGCTTAATAATCATTTTTTAATAATTTTTTAAAAATGGGGTGCTAACTTTTTAACGAAATTCAAGGTCGCATAGTTCTGATCAGCTTAACAGAACTATTTTGTGAATACCTAGAGTTCTTGATACATAAAAAACATTTTTGAAATATAATAAAGTTTAAAAAAAATAGTGGAAATCTTTGAAAATTTTTTTGAGAGTACCGAGTAGTTCTGAGTAGCGTTTCTTATAGTACTCGACGAGTTCTATCGAAAACTGTAAGGTGACAAAGCGATTGGACCAACGGTTTGCAAGATACAGCGACATTTGTCGAAAGATCAACAATTTTTAGAGTGAGTATATCTCGGAAACCGTTGGTCCAATCGCTTTGAGCCCTGATACTTTTCGACAGAACTCGCCGAGAACTGTCCAGAACTCCGATCAGAACTACTCGGTACTCCCAAAAAATTATGACTTGAAATTTTTTTCAAGTCCCACGTCGAAAAATTTTTTAAGAGTACCGAGTAGTTCTGAGTAGTGTTTCTTATAGTTCTCGACGAGTTCTATCGAAAACTGTCAGGTGAAAAAGCGATTGGACCAATGGTTTCCGAAATATACTCTAAAAATTGTTGATCTTCTGATAAATGTCGTTGTATCTTGCAAACCGTTTGTCTAATCACTTTTTCACCTTACAGTTTTCGATAGAACTCGTCGAGAACTATAAGAAACGCAACTCAGAACTACTCGGTACTCTCAAAAAATTTTCCAACGTGGGACTTGGAAAAAAATTTGAAGTCAAAATTTTTTGGGAGTACCGAGTAGTTCTGATCGGAGTTCTGGACAGTTCTCGGCGAGTTCTGTCGAAAAGTATCAGGGCTCAAAGCGATTGGACCAACGGTTTCCGAGATATACTCACTCTAAAAATTGTTGATCTTCCGACAAATGTCGCTGTATCTTGCAAACCGTTGGTCCAATCGCTTTTTCACCTTACAGTTTTCGATAGAACTCGTCGAGTACTATAAGAAACGCTACTCAGAACTACTCGGTACTCTCAAAAAAATTTTCAAAGATTTCCACTATTTTTTTTAAACTTTATTATATTTCAAAAATGTTTTTTATGTATCAAGAACTCTAGGTATTCACAAAATAGTTCTGTTAAGCTGATCAGAACTATGCGACCTTGAATTTCGTTAAAAAGTTAGCACCCCATTTTTAAAAAATTATTAAAAAATGATTATTAAGCGCATATGTTATTAAAAATCATAGAGAACTCTTCGTATCGTCAAAAAGAAGCAAGAATTATCATCAGAACTATTCTATCTAAAAATTAATTTTTCAAAAATTTTTAATTTTTTTTTATTATTCAAAAATTTTTTTTACATATGAGGAACTCTAGGCAATCGCAAGTTGAATCTATTAAGCCGCTCAGAACTATTCCACCTCGAAATTCGATAAAAAGTTAGCACCCCATTTTTAAAAAATGTTTACTGAGCGGAACTCTTGTTATTAACTATAGGGAACTCTTCGTTTCGTCAAAAGGAAGTGGGAACTCTAATCAGAACTCCTGAGTACTATAGTTGGGGTGCTAACTTAACATACCCAAAATACACAATAAATATTGTATATTACATGTTTCGGTTTCTAGATTGAGCAATCTAGATAATTGAACAAATATCCAGGAAAGATATTACCTAAGAAGAGCATAGTAATAAAGCACTTATATACACAAATAGTAGCGATCAAACGAATGCTCCGCAGAGAAGTAGAGATTACTCGCAAACGATTTAACGACCGATTGTTGGGAATTTCTCGAAATTCTAGAGAAAACATTTTGTTAAAAAGTAATTTAGTAAAAATAACTTCAATTGGGTATAATTTTATATCATGAATTCAGATAACAAGACTTGCCATCTGAATTCATAATATCAAATTATTCCCAATTGGAGTTATTTTCATTCATTTATTCATTACACATCACTGCTCTTATCCAATTTGTTAATTTGAGTTAATTAATGGAGTTAAGACAATTTAAGAAAATGTATTAAATTTATACTCAAACTTAGTACCTATATTATTTAAAGTATATCATAAATATGAATACGTTTTAATAGACAATTTATTTTAAAACCAACCACAGTAATATTATAGATTTACCTTTTAACACATATAAAACTAAAAATGACAAAATATTATTTATTTAACTTAAAGGATTGGGTTACCGTTGCTCCTTTCATATCTAACGATGTAAATTACTTATTATTAAAGAGGATCGCGCGCAAAATACATCTCGCAGACGGATATTTAATATATGTATACTGACCTAACAAAATGAATTTTTCGTAACGCGGTTTAATTTGACCGCCAATGTCATTTCGCTCTCGCGCAACATGACAATTTAATTTCACGCGCAAAGGAAGAAGTTTACCAAGGAATCTAACCTTGCTCCTCGCTATTTCTCTGTTACGGTAATACACGTTCCGCAGGGCGATATCACTGGTACGATAAGGGATTCGGAGACCAAACGCCGGAGATCGCATCTGCGAATAGTACAACCTTCTCCGAAATAACGTCGTCATGATTTACCATACCGTAGGATATAATCAACAATTCCAATTCTCGACCGTTACCCTGATCTTTATCGCGCACAAATTTACCGAGGATTTACTCGTGTATTTCGCTGCATCTGCAGATCTCGCATTTTTAGATACACGACGCTATCTCGTTGACGAATGATCAAATCAAGTATGCTTTGAAAAAGTTTCATACCAAATTATCCAAAGGATTAATAGGCTCGTCGACTTCTTTTCAAATTACCTTAAAATTCCAGTAAAAGGCTCCTCTTTATTACTTCATATATTTTACTCTTAATTGCTGCTGTAATTATATTGTTTTTATGATATATTAATGGCCGCATCTCGCGATATTTCTCTGCGCGCGTGTCCGTGTGCCTATTTAACTTTTTCCACAGATATATGGCGCAAATATTCGCACGTAATGCGCGCGATGTATGCGACCTAGCGATCCACTGAGAGTCGTACTAGCTCTGCGCCACATTAAATTACATTTATTATTCTCGCGACATACCGCCGTAATACATTTCGTCGACAGCAACGCTAATCTACACTCTCACAATGTGAGTGCGCTCGAGCAGCACGCCTCATCAATCACACTAGCGAGGAAAGTCCTCCAGAGGTACTGATTTTCATTAAATTGATATACCGATTCTCCGTATCTCTCGCGAACTTCTAGCCAGACATGTTTGCATGCGCGCGTTACAAGTCAAAGGAGTCATATTTTACTCCACTACCAAGGCATAGAAATATATATCATTGAGAAATTTCTGTGAGAGAAAGATATTCTTCAATAAAGAAAAATGTTTAATATATTGAAAACTTGTAATTCTGTTTATATCTCTCGAACGTCTGTCTATTATGAAATTTATTCATCGGCGATTGTATCTGGCGTCGACCGATGCATTTATGGCTACCAAAAAAGACGGAGAAAGAGAGGAAAGAAAGAGGGGAATGGGCACAGACGAGTCAGAAACGGGGGAGATGATATCGAGAAGGCAGAATTCGCGTTTCAGAAATACTATAAGCAGGGCTATATTGTAGTGCAGACCTCCGCTCTGCCATTGTCCGTAGGCGTGCGGGTGAACGTAGGTCTTAAGATCCAGTCTGCGGACAAAGCCATCACGACGAGGCTGCCAACAGGGGAATGCACAATTACACACGCGTCGTCTGCTCCGCGTCTCGTCTGCTAAGAAACCTTAATTAACGCGGGCTTTCGGCGTCTCACCACCGAAGTACATCTCGCTCCTAAACGCAAACCCCTTTCTTTCTCTCGTCGCGACGCGGTAATCCTTTAATGCGTTTACAATTAATCGTGTCATTCTCCTACGCGAGTCATAATAGAAATAACATAAGCGGATTAATAGGGATATACACAGTGTCGACGGTAAAGCTGTATCGTAAAATTCGAGAAGACAGTTTCGCGAAAAAAGAATTCCAACTCGTAATCAATAATATCCATTTTCCGATACAAAATTGCTAAGCAAATATAATAAAATTGATAGAAAGATCAAACGATTAATTAATGAAACGTTGGAAAGAGAGAGAATTTATTTGTATTTTTATATCATCGACGACTTTTTCCAACGTTTTAATTACTAAAAATTTCATATATTTCATTTGTTTCCAAATTCTAATTTAATTTATTTTCCACTGTTATTTAACTGAAAAAGATTTAGTGTAGTCGAAACGTTCCATACGTACGTTGTATAAAAAACTAGTTTTTTAATCCAATTAATTACCCTCGTTTATTTGACCTTCCTATCAATTTTATTACATCAACCCATAAAATTTCATCTGTGACGATATCTCCAATCTTCAAGAGCAACGCAGGATTTTAGGTACGTACATATCCTTTCGACCCCACTTCGCATGATCGACCAGATATTGTAACTCCGAATCCGGCATTCCTTCCTCGACTATCTGTCCGTTTGGGATATCGCGCATCGGACTCGTAGATCCTGATTGAAGAAGCGATCCCGCAGCGTAAGAACGGAGCGTTATATGCTCTGCATTATGGAGGTCGTCCAGCCATCCGAGAATGTCAGGGTGTTACATAAAGGCCATTACCAGGCACACAGTGGACGGCGAGAATCGTTGAGGCGAAGAGGCGCTCTCTGATCCTCCTCCCTCGTCGCGCGTCAGACCCGAAAAGGTCAAACGTGAGGGAAAGACGCGCGCTCTTGGCATTCGACAGCACCATCAACGACAGACTCTGGCAACGATCTCCCTCGAGTATCGGAAGAAAACGCCGCAGATTCAAAGCTAACGCTCGGACGAGGGGCTTTTCGATCGTCCGAAATCTCTGTATGCCGTTTAAAAGCGTCTCGACAGCAGCGAAACCGATGTGTTCGGGAGATCAGATTTTATTTTTTTATTGCAATGTTATAAAGACTTCGTTAATAATCACGAGTTCTCTAAATTTTTTTCGAGTAAATCTCATTTAAAAGAAAATATAATTAAGCCAATTTTGGAAAAGACTGGCTCAATTTTCAATCTCGAAGAGTGAGATTTTACTTTTCAGAGTAACAATTCACGAGCCTGAAAGTTTTAAAGTGTTACATGGAAAACAATGATTTTACGAAGCTAACGAGTACTTGTCGTACGTCTCGCGAAATAAAGATTAAAGTATTTTATTGTGCTGGTCCCTTTGGACTATCCAACAGCTGGAAACGGTCCCTTGGAGTCTCAAGCTTTTTACATCCCTTTCCCTTTCGATAACTATATATAGGTACATAAAAATAGCTAGTAACCTCTTCAGGTAAAGGGCTCCTGCGGGAGCTACGTTAGAAGCACGTGCTGTGAATTTTGGGTACGATTCTGAGCGCGTACCTTCGTCATCCCCCTTCGCGCCCCCATCCCTCTCGGCACGACATCGCCAATATTCGACGTCCTGAATCCACATCTTCCGTCCTTTTTGCTCGATCGCCCGACCACGATCGTGTTGTCTCTCAAAATCTATAGACGACGCCTGCAGATCCAATGTTCGCGCACGGCGACAATAAAGTATAATTCGATTCCCTTTCGCGCTTTGAGGGGCGCTGAGCCAGAAAGAAACCGCCTGATTTATGCTTTTTCTACAGCGAACGAGCAGTATACTTCGGTATTACAATAACGCATACTGGTCTCGAATAAAAATTTTCCATCCGAGTAACGACACGATAAAAAGATTTCTCGCGAGTCAAGCCGCGAAAAAGCGTAATCGCGGTTGTCTTAATAGCTTCGTAAGACTTTTCCGCTGTAACGTTTTATCACGAGTGGGAGAAGCTTAATACGACAGCGCCGCGAATTTCCCGCGAGGAGCTGAAACTCTTTTTGGGCGACATGGACGGCGCAACGAAGTTTACCGCGTTAGCGCGATGTCGCGTAAAACAAAAAGACGGAGAAGAGGAAAAAAAGAAAAAAAATTTTCTACACACCGTCGGGACTCGTTTTGGATAAGTTTCGTACTAGTTGGAGACGCGACCCCCTCGAAGGAATTCAAAAATTACTTACCAACAACAAGTCCGCCGAGGTAGACTAATTTCTCCGAGAAGTTCGTGATCTGAAAAAAAAAAGAACAAACACCGTTTGATACGTCGCAATTTTAAACTTTACTGTATAAATTTTACGCTCGCTTGGAGCACATGCAGAAGTACACAAAGAACGGATCAACGTACGTCGTTCCATTTTCAATGTTTGTATAATAAGTATAGGTTAAAATTTTTTAATAGGTGTATAAACTAAAATTTTATCGAAATAACAAAAATTTAGTTGAAATATAAACGGAAAGAACGATTTTGCTAAATTCCCTGACTTCTTTCTCCCTTACCTACATTTTCCTGATTTTTAATTTTATGGCAACTTTAATTCTATGGCGTACACAGAGATTACCTTTGAGACCACTGTGCTCGTTTACGGTTTAATTAATTACATGTCGCGTACGTGAAAGACTCTTGTCCTTGTCGGTCGATAGCCTGAACTTTTGGGTCTCACGACATCCCAGTTATGAGTCGCAGACTACGATTAGTTTGTAACAATCTCAGACAGCTCGAGAAGTTATATCCGCTACGGTTGCACAACAGTAGTTACAAAGCCAGATACAGTAATGAGCGGTTTCTCGCTCTGCGGAGACCAGGGAGGGAGACTAAAGATTAATTCCGCGTCAGGGGCACAAATCCGTGCGTGGCATAAATCTCCAGGCTCGAGAGCTCTGGGCTCCTCTTAAAGAGCGAGTGTAACGCCATGTCTGCCCGATTCACCTCGGTTTACTCCCATATTACACCCGGCGTCAGTTTCCTGCACCACGTCGTCATCACTTTTGTTCAGTTATCTTCTGCATGAGACAGGCTGGGAGACAAATCGGATACTCTTCGTCTTCGTACTTATATGTATTACCGTAATTTCGAAAACAAAGGGATAATTATGTGTAACGACTGAGAATTATGAAGCAAACTATAAGAAACTGTTTAGAATTATTCAGAACAGTTTGTGATGTATACGAGTCTTAATCTTAATTTTAATTTCTTTTATATTTATTTTATTTTTTTCAGACTTAGGGACATTATAATGAAAAAATATTAATTAAACTATACGGAAAAATGTATATTTAAATATAATTTAATTACTAATAATTATAATTATGATTTAATTATAATATACATATATTAATTTTATTGCAATAATATATACTATGAATAGCCCTACAAATAACAGACTAATTCTACAAAGTCTTTTTTTGCTTTTACAAACAATGTCTAACACTTTCTTATTAGTTTCTATAAACGATTCCTCTTTGGCGTACACAAATTCAATAATTACAAGCCAAATGAAATGTCTAAATCTACAGATGACCGATGTTCGTTTCCAGTCTGTTCCGCTCGTCAAGATAATGTAAGCGGGAGAGGATAAAAAAGTACGGAACCAAGTTGAATTGATGCAGCAGCCGGGACGTCCATTTAGTAACTTTGGAAGTTATAAAGCAACTTTCTCATTTAAGACCAAAGCAAACTGAACGCACGTTGAATTGAACTGAACTGAATAGACGGCGGAATGTACTGCCTGCTTCAGACTATGACATATTACACGGCGATGAAGATCGACAATCGCAATTAAATGGTGGCTGTCTTGGTAAAGGGACAAATAAAAAGTACAGCTGCAACTTTCTACAATGTTGCCGATGTGCACTTAACGGTGATAAAAGGCGTAATATAAAATGCCTGGCATCGAATAAATCACGTTCGCTACATTCGCGTCTTTTGTCACAATCACGACGCCGTGTTCGCGGAAAAAGCAACTATATTTGCCTTCATTGAACGCCGTTGAGCGAACGCGTTTTCTTCGATCTCGGAGAAAAAGTATTTAAGTTAGTGAGTGAGCGGCCGACCGACCGACTTTCTTTCTTCAATTCATCACGGCGATAATTGTTCTACAATACGGAACGGTTACTAATACGAGTCTTATATTTGTTGGTCATCGATCTGCATGTATCCGGATATATCCGTTTGCATTTAATCCTCGGTATTCGTTCCAAAATTTCCTTAATTAGTATTCGTGAGTACAGTGTACTTCAAATTAATGTATCTTTACATTTAAAATTAGTGCAATAATTTTATTTACATTTTGCAGGTCAAAATTCTAGAAAGAAGAGTATTTTCTCGTCTCGTCTCGCTCGAATGCATCACTATAGATAACTATATAAATATTGAAGAAAATGTTCAAATTCGTTGAACCCACGAATATCGATTGAAATTAATTCTGCGATTAATTCCAGCCAAAATACCCAAATTTGTTCGCTCGAGATTTTAACTGAAAATTGGGGGTGTCTTTAAAACAATTCTGGAGCCCTTATAAAATATGGTGAAAATTGTACGCCCTCCAAATTCTTCTTAACGTTTACGATCACCGGCAAAAATGGAACGATGGTCTAAGTTATAGGATTCGTCCTTATTTTCCTCCGTTTTGTAACGACTATATATGTACGGTACCTTAGGGACTTTTCGTATTTCTCTACGCGAACGGCTGCATAAAGACGCTATTATCAAAATGTCTAGACCGAGAATTCCTTTGAGAGAAAAAGAAGCATTCGATACGCCCTGTCGGTATAACCTGCTGGATATTACAAAAGAGAAGAGCATTTGGAATTAACGCATGAATAAAAACAAATACTAGATTAACGTGCCGTTAAAAACCAATGTCGATTATTAACAATCAACAAAAAGTACAATTTGAGACGTTATTTGACTCATGTTTACGATTTAATTAATTACGCGTGAGGCAACATCGATCGAACTTTGTTTTCGCGGATGCGGCGAGTTTTACGTTATGTCCCGCGATTATATGACAGCGGAATTTTGCATACTAATGCATATTCATTCAGTATTTAGCACCGGCAACGAGTTTGTGGCATTAAATAAAAATGTGATTTGCCGCTCTGTAATTTTGAGGCTGTTTCACCGCGGGTGTGATTCAATTAGCAAGAATGCAAATTGCGTAACATGCCCGTTTATTTTCACACAGGCGCTCTGATGTAGATAACAGTTAGTATCAAGTACCAAAACCGTATTCGTAACGCGGCTACCGAGAAATTTATTGCACGCTAATTGAAATGAATTATTTGTCGAATTTTTTACACGCGGAAAAATGGCACTCTTAAGCTTTAAACGATACAGCCAGTTCATAAACGCCGTATACGCTCGTAATATTAAATAACCGTTTCAATTTTAATCGTCTACAATAAGATTATGAGGCGTAAAATTTAAGCTTTAAGTCTTAAGTCTTCAAAAATTGACCAATCATATTCGACTTGATACATTTCTCACGATTTGAGACTAAGATTTTACGCTTTAAAATCTCACTGTGAACATCGCTTAACCTTTAGAGAATAGCAAAACCACTATAGTGGTGCTGAAATAATGTGTTATACAATATTTTAAGACAGAGAAATTCAATAAAAATAAAGAACAGACTTTATTCAAGGAAGAAGAGTCGGATTTAAAAAATGCACCTCGTTTTTAAAAGTTAAACACTGATCCAAGAGGGATATGAATATTGTATGTATGTAAACGCTCAATGCAACATGGCGCGATGTAAAAACAACGTGTGCTTCTATATATTTAATAAACCAATATTCATCGGGTGTTTCGATGTCGTGCGATGAAACATTTAATGCCTATACGAAAATCCTGTAATTACGCAAAAAGCGAATGGTAACTGGCAACTGGCGGTCCACATCGTTTTCATGACGAGAACGAAAACGTGACAGTCGCACTGAAAGCACGATCGAATTCCTGGCGTTGCCCGGGTAACCAGATTTTTCCTCCAACGTCGATGTCGATGGAATTACACTGCAGTTAATTGCAGTCAGACACGAGATCTATATAAAGTGCGAAAACGAAGTGGCAATTATGTCCTTATCGACAAGCGAAATGTATTCGTCGACCTAGTGCCATCATCGTCATGGAGGTGACAATTTTATCTCCGTGAAACACCTTATTTTTAGAATTTCGATACGAGTCGATAGAGTTCTCAACTTTCTCCAAAAAGAACTGAACTTGCTCGTAATTTTGGCTCGAAAATAATTTTGGAGATTAAACGCAAGAAAATAAAATCTGGCAACAGCCAGCCTCTCTCTTTCTCTCTCTTTCTTTCCCTTTCTCGTTTATTCGTTCCCCTATTTTCCTTCCTGCTTCTCTTTTCCCTTTGTAACACTCTTCGTAATGCTGCGACTGTGATTTTCTATAAAGTACAAAGAGTAAACCGTTGAAAAATGTTGGTCTAAAAGGACGCTGGCAGAAATTAACATGTACTACGTAACGTAACATTGTGATGCATAAAGCAAAAAGAACAGTGAAGCTAAAATAGAAGAGAAGCAGCTTCCAAAAATTTAATTCGAATATTAACGAAAATATATTAAAAGAAAGTAGTTCAAGATTTATACTAAAACGGAAAAATTTATAAAAATAATTGAATGCCACAACAATCGTTGCACAACCAACTGAACTTACAAAGATAATATTACTAATAACTTATAAATGCACTTTAATTTTAACCTTTGTTAACAATATGAAATTTTCAGCCTTTGTCCGCAGCCTAGGGTCTTCGAACTTCAGTGCAGATTTTATATTGTTACAGACTAACATAAAAGTCTAAAAAAGTCTTGTATATTATAGGTTCTTGTAAAACCTTTAACAACGAGTTTTTATTATTATAAAAGTTGAATTGTACTTTATTTATTTTATACAGTTTTAAATTTATCTACCAGAATTCACAATAAAAAAAATCGACTATGCCTTCAAAGTTCGATATTGCTGGCAAAGGATTAAGTTGCTTTAGCTTGGGTAAATAAGCCTCGATGTACAACGTAATAAAACGTAATTATAAAATTTAATCTAAAAAGTTAGTTTAAATTTAAATACACAACCAATAGAAAATAGAGCCCATAAATATTTAAATTTAAATAAAAATGCAATTTTCTTGTACAGACTTAATAGCGGAATATCCTTATAGGTCTATTCGAGCATCCCGTCCATCGATCCACTCTCGAGAAA